TAATCTTTCCAAAAAAGAAAAAAAATGTTAAAATGAGAAAGGTTTTTTTTTAATTGAATATAAATTAACTAGATCAAATTTGCTAACACTCAGTATGGCTGTAACCATGTAAAGCAGTATGAGTAGAGACTAGGTGACAGACAGTAAATGACTCTTACCCATGCTCCTATAAGATCCAGTAAATGACTCTTACCCATGCGCCTATAAGCATGCCTGATGAAACTCACTGTGTCTCACACAGAGACCTGAAGTAAGAGGGGGCTTGTGGGGAAAGGAAGGGGCCAGCAGGAGTGGATGGGGAGCAGGAGAAGGGAATGGGGGTGAATATGAACAAACACATTCTATCCGTGTATGAAAAATCACAGTGGAACACATTGGTGTGTGTAATTAATACATGCTAAGAGAAAGGTAGGGATACTTTAAGTGCCAACACTTGATTAGGAGGGTTAGCTTTTTTTTTTTTTTTTACACTGAATTTTCTTCATTATGACATACTTTCCCCTTTATTATTACATACACTCTGTGTGTATATATTCCATATCTTTCTAGATCTATTTTTGTGCATTTATATATCCTTGCTCCTTCCTCACCTTCAACACACCTTTTTTTTTTTTTTTTTTTTTTTTTTTTTTTTTTTTTTTTTTTTTTTTAATAAAACCATATAACTTAGAGGACAAGAGAAACCATAAAAGCAGTTCTCCAAAGCTGTTTTGCAAGATGGTCTCTGAGGAGCTTGAGTTCTTGCTTTGAAGTTTCTGCTAAGGACTAGTAATAGCAGATCTTGTTTATTGCCTCAGCCCAAAGCTCTGGTATGAAGAGCAGGAACGAGGTAGCTGTGGTGTGTTCTTACAGCCCTGAAACATGTATCTGATGACATGAAGACTCACAAGAACCCTGCCCTGAAAGCTCAGAGTGGTCCAGTTCGGAGTGGCCCCAAACCATTCTCTGCACCTAAACCCCAAACTAGCCCCTCCCCCAAACCAGCCACAAAGAAGGAGCCAGCTCTGCTGGAACTGGAAGGCAAGAAATGGAGAGTGGTGAGTGAAAGGGGCCTGGACTCCATGTGTGCAAGGGAAGAAGAAGGCTTTAAGCAGAGCTTAGCTGAAGAGGGCGGGGCTCTGGCTTTGGTGGGAGAACAAAGGTTTGGGATGAGGCATGGTTTTTGCTTACATGTGCTTTGTGGTAAGAATCCTGGGATGTGTCTTCATTAGGAAAACCAAGAGAATGTTTCCAACCTGGTGATTGATGACACTGAGCTGAAGCAGGTGGCTTACATCTACAAGTGTGTCAACACGACATTGCAAATTAAGGGCAAAATTAATTCCATCACAGTAGGTGAGTCCCCTGTGCTTCCCCAGGCATGGTCTGACTTGCAGCCCAAGACGGTTAGAGCCACTTTCTACATCTGTGTACATTCTTATGTTACTGTCCTTTTCAGTTCCTCTGTTGACCTGCTTCCTTTCTTCTAGATAACTGTAAGAAGCTTGGCCTGGTGTTTGATGACGTGGTGGGCATTGTGGAGATAATCAATAGTAGGGATGTCAAAGTTCAGGTAACTTGATGTCTTGGCTTCTCCTTTTGGTCCCTGAAGAATTAATTGAGAAAGACACAGCAGACTCGCAGATGTTCCTTGGGCAGGAATCTGATTCTCCAAAGTCTGTAAGCTGAGCTACTTTGGATGTGGCAGAAGTTGGCTCTTTAAGGGAGCTCTTTCCAGGACCTGGCCCAGCCCATCCCCAGTTTCTAATATCTGGTGTGCACTGGGGGCTTTTGTGAAGTAGCATAATCACTTAAAACAGTGAACACTCTCTGCGGCTTAGTCTGCTCATATGTGCTGGAACTCAGTTTTTTTTTCCGTGCAGGTGATGGGGAAAGTGCCAACCATTTCCATTAACAAAACAGATGGCTGCCATGCTTACCTGAGCAAGAACTCCCTGGACTGTGAGATAGTCAGTGCCAAATCTTCTGAGATGAACGTCCTCATTCCTACGGAAGGCGGTGATTTTGTAAGTTTTCTTCCCTTCGTTTCATTTCCTTTTCCATCTTTCATTCCATAGTGTCTCTTGTGTGGCCTGGAGCTCACTGGTGATCCTTCTGCCTCTGCCTCCTAAGTGCTGAGATACAGCCATGTAGCACAAGACTGTTTCTTTGCTGTTGGAGGTTGAACTCAGGGCTTCTTCATGCTAGGCAAGCATTCTTTCCACTAAGCTATAACCCTGAGGAATATGATGTTAAAAACAGAAGAAATAAGCTGGGACTGTTGGTATACACCTGCATTCCCTGCATGGTCTTACCACATAACCCACCTAGGTAGGCCTCAAAATCTTCCTCCTCTGTCTCAGACAATGTCTGTCTCAGTCAGACAGGACTGAATACTCACTGAATTAGAGAGACTATTTGGTGGATAGTTGGCATTCTGCAGGTAAATCCCAACAACAGTACACACAGAAGCCAGGTAGTCCTATGAAGGAGGCTCCAGAGTGAGGGTCAGGAGGGTCATTCCTGCCGTTCTTAGTTAACTAAGAGTGCTGCTCCCCCATCCCCTGCTGGCCCCCCAATCAGGCTGTTGTCTAGAGCTAAGTCTGTCCAGGAGCACAGATCAGTCAACAGTGAACAGGGCAGATGCAGAGCAGTATGGCTGGGGAGGTTAAGTTTGTCTCACTCCATGTGTGAACCTGGTGCCTAAGTTCAGAGGAGGGCACCGGGTCACCTGGGACTGGCATTACAAATGGTTCTGAGTCACCACATGAGAAGCACAAGTTAAACACAAGTGTTCTTAACCACCGAGCCATCTCTTGAGCCCCATCGACCTGTTACTGCTTTTTTGCAGAATGAGTTCCCAGTCCCTGAGCAGTTCAAGACCCTGTGGAATGGACAGAAGTTGGTCACCACAGTGACAGAAATCGCTGGATAAGCGAATGCATGGGTCCTGTGCCCTCTCCCTTCACACCATGGAATACATCTGTATGGAGACGGTTCTTTTCTAGATTTCCTCTACCTTTCTGCTCTTAAACTGCTTCTCTACTCTGAGAAGCCCAGCTACCTGCCTTCACTGAATATACCTCAGGCTGAGACGGGCGGGACAGCAGGTCAGTGGATCTTCACGGGAAGGTGCAGCTTCTCTGTGAGCTTATGGAGCATCAGGCCCAGACTGGAGCACTGAAGCTTTCAGCTTTGGGGGTCATTCTACCAACAAACAGTCCTTGAGGGTTCAAAACATCCTGGAAACAAACATCAGAATGCATACTAGTCTCCTAACAGTGAGCATGGGGTTAGCAGGAGCCAGGGATTCCATTAGGTTCTAACCAACCTAGCTTTTCATTGTTGACAAGTGAGGCCAGGGTTGCACTCCACCAAAAGCTAAGGATTGTCACCCAGCATTCCAAACAGACTTGTTTCCTAAAAGCATCCTTCATTCTGCATTCCTTCCTGGGTCAGCGTCAACCACAACATAGTAGGCATTCCGCTTGCAGCTGCAGTACAGTAGCAGTACCCTTTTTTGAGGAAAAGAGTCTTAATCCCTTTCCCCCCCTGGGATGATTGCCTTGATTCCCATGGGGAGCAACTTTAAAAAAAGGGGGAAAAGAAAAGCAACACAGCATTCCAGGGAGTCTGGCGTTCCTCTTTTCCTGCCAGATGACTGTCCTCGTCGACTCTACTCACTCTCCTGCTTGTCATACTCAGCAGCTTAGGGCCTGGGGCGGGCGGGCGCAGGAGCCTGACTAGGGCAGGACCCCCACTGCGGCTGTGGAGGTCTCGATTTCCATCACAGTCTCACACAGCATTAGTACTGCAAACCCCAGGGCTCCCTCTAGACACACTGACCAAAAGAAATATGCAGCCTTTTTCTTTTTTCTGGTGGGAAAAGAAGAAGAGAGATTGTCCTGTGACTTCTGCCCATTACCTGAGGCCTGTGGAAATAAACCTTTATGTACTTAAAGTTATACAGAAAATAGAATAAAGTTAATACCAAACTTGGTTAGTTATCCCCTGATGTTTTCTGTACTGAGATGTGAAAATACTGAAGATGACACCGAGGATGAGAAACTACTCTTTATTATTGTTTAAAGACAACCTCAAAGCTATTTTCAGATCCTCCCACTTCCTGCCCTTAACCCTCATCCTTTTATTTGAATAGGTTTGAGAAAGGAAAAGGAAAAACGGGCAGTGGGTGGGTTCGGCAGTGCTAATGGTGCATTCATGAACAGTCATTTCTCCAAACCACTGCTCTATAGCAATCATCTGGAACATGCTGCGACCTTTCCAGCAGGGGGGCTAGTGAGTCCATGCTCAAATGCAGGACACGATGGCATCATCAGTTTAGCATGGGTTGATTTTCAGAGGGAAAAGGAAGTCTACAATATTCTTCATTTTCTTGAACCCAGTCAGCAGCAGTTTGACGTGTGCTGGTAAATAGGATGCAGGGTAGGAATGTCAAAGCCCCACCTTTTCAGACCGTTGCTCCCATTTTTTGCAATGGTGTGACACTTATGACACTTGTAATATTAAGGGCAGTGGCAAGAACAGCCACCTGGTTTTCAGTTCTCCACTCCCTATCTCACGGTATAGAAGACACACATTGCTGTAGGGTGTGGTGGTGCATGCCTTTAATCCCAGCTGAGAAGGCAGAGGAGCAGGTGATCTCTGTGTGAGTTCAAGGCCAGTCTGCTCTACATAGTGAATTCCAGGCCAGCCAGGGTTACAAAGTGAGTGAGCCCCTGTCTCAAAAAAAAAAAAAAAAAAAAAAAAAAAAGAAAAGAAAAGAAGAAGTACATCTCCTCTCTTAAGCACCCTGTTGGTAGTTCCCCCTTTTGTTACTAATTCTGTTACTGAGGATTAAAGATACAAGGTGAGCTCAGAGGGGCATGATGGGAGGCTTGTGGAGTGACTGCTAGGCGCCACTAGAGGGCAGCACTTACACAGGAAACCAGCCTTAAGAACCGATGTAGAAACATGTCTGGCCCACACAGCAGTGTTGAGAAATTGCTTGTGTGAACATCTCAGGACTAGGTACCACGAGGCTTTTATTTGCTTCAAATTTGTATGGGTTTTTGCCTTCAGAGCTTGTCTCTCTCTGCTTCACTTCCATCTCTTTTAGGCACAATTATTGTCTGCAACAGCAGACTCCCCTTTCTTAAAAGGGGCCTTGTCATATCACAAGGTTGTAAAACAATCTCCATGGTTGTTAGCTAATTAAACTTGAATTCAACACCATATGGTGATAGCAGGCGGCAAAGGATAAGATTAAGATCTGAGATCTTTCCAAGTAGGGCGTGTTAGGTGGTAACAGGGAGAGGACTGCTTGCAGGGTAGAGCTGCCGTTTCATGATCTCTGCTGCAAAGTGCAAGGGCTTCACTTAAGAAAAGGTATGATGTGGGCAGTAAACCATTCTTTAGACATTTGAAGATGGTCCCCTTCCTTTGCTAGAAACACCAGCTTTCCTGCTTTGTCCATTTTCTTTAGCCCCAGGCGGTCCTGTAGAGAGAAAGGCCATAATGAATCCAAGAGGTTTACTGAAAGGATTTTAGACTAACCCAATAGAATGTTAACATTTACTCTCAAGATACATAACTTTCCCCTCAGTATTAAACTAGAGGTATACTGTTGAGGGAAAAAAACCACCTCCTTTCAGATCTTTTGTTTGTTTGTTGTTTGTTTTTTGAGATGGGGTCTTGCTTTGTAGCCCTAGCTGGCCCCAAACTTGCAGCAATCCTGCTTTAGTCTCTTGAGTGCCAGGATTATAAGCATGTTTCAAACTGGTTCCTTCAGTTTGCTTCTAAGCATTAAAAATATATCTGCAAGGCCAACATGGCGTCACAGCCCTTTAATTCCACCGTTTAGGAGGCAGAGGCTGGTGGATCTCTATAGGTTCAAGGCTAGCCAGGACACTCAGGGCTACATGCTGTCTTTAAAAAAAGAAAAATACTGCTGAGATTGTTTTATGTTCTGTCCCACCCCTAATCCCAGATGGTAGAAGTAAACCCAGGACCTGCTCCTGAGCTGCATGCACCCAAGTGCCTACAGTCAGCTTTCTGAAAAGCAGCTGGGCAAGCAAAACTGGCACAGAACATAGTGAAGTCAAGCTGAGCCAAAGAGGAGAAAATGAGTCAAATAATGTTTTAAGATACAACCTATCTGATTCTTAGGATAATGAACTTAGGACATGTTAGAATCTTACACTGTCATCCCCAATAGCCAAGGTGTCAGGCTCTTTCTGGGAAGAGAAGATCAAGCATTCGAGAACAGTGTCACTGCATGTCTACCCTGGGTTTGAATTTCATGATAAGGAAGATCTTGGCTGTAATTTCCAAAGCTGCCAGAACGTAGCTTCCCTTTATTTCTACCTCATCCAAACAAGGATACCACGGGCATGGGGTCGGGGGGAAGGCAGAGGAAAATACACCTCTGAAATTGGGATGAGGGTGGGGGAGACTGTAATAAAAGGTGGTTTAGATATGGTACTTGGACATTTGTGAGTCCATCTCCAGTATAAGTAGTTTATGGCAAGCAGTAACTGGATGTGGTGAAACGCTGCAACTTGTGCTTGGGAGAAAGGACCTGCTGCTAGGCAGAATGCCCAACAGCCCCAGTTGAGAGATCAATGACAGATTTACTCTTGGTGCTGGGACACAAACCCAAAAGTCATCATGTATGCTAAGCACATGTCCTGCCACTGAGGCATACCCTCAGACCACCAAAGCCCACACCTCACGGCTGCCATGATATCACACCTCATCCATGTCTGCATTTACTTAGGGGCTTCTGGGATTTGTAGTAAACTAACTCTGTAAGAGAAGCCACTACCAAACCTTCTCTTCAAAAGCAAAACCTTAAGAGTTGATGTTTCTCTTTGTGTTTAAAAACCACGAGCAAGAGGTCTTAGGATCTAGTAGCTATCTATACATCAGCACCCAGGAAGTTAGCGTGAAGACACCCTACTGTGACCTAAGTCAGATGGCTTGTGAGCTCTTCGTGTTCTAGAACAGACAAGGCAGGGGTCTAGCCCACTGAACACAGCAGCTCCAGGAACCAGAGTGGAGAGAAATAGTTTCAGCCCCCCAAAGCAGATCGCTCCCTCCAGTACCTCTGTGTATAGAGCGGTCTCCTGGAGGGGAATGGTTTCCTTAGCTTGGCCACTTCTGTAAAATCCAAACCACTTCAGGAGAGAAGGAAGAAAAATAGGTCAGATCATGCACCCAGCACATTTTGAAAAATCATTTGAGGCTAGCTAGTACCTAAAACTACCAGCAAAATGAACACTGTAATATATCTGACAGCAAGCTAGAAGGAAGAATGGGACTGGGGTTTTTGGTTTTGGTGACCTGGAACTCACTGGTGTAGCCTAGGTTGGTTTTGACCTTGCAAGCTATCTATCTGTCTGAGCCTCTTGAATGCTAGAGCTATAGGCATTGTGTCATCATATGTAACGTAAAGATGTATGTTGAGTTATCTCCTTTTAAGGATCAATCTCGAGGGATGAGCTAATCCTCTTGAAATTTTCCGTTTCCCTGTTACTTGTGTTTCCTTCCTTGAGTGTATCTACCCTGGAAGTCCCTGATCTCCCCCAGTCATTCAAGGATGAATATAAAGCCCCTTTCCCACGAAGCTCCCAGTCCAGCAGGCACAGAACCAATTCACTGTATAGCACTGGGTCAGCAGACTTCTGTTGAGGCCAGATACAGAATCACGTGGTTGTGGCTGCCCACTTGCCATTGTGACACAAAAGGAGCAACAGAGCATGTGGGGAGTAAGGATTTTCTAATGAAATGCTTCTATAGACATGGAAATTCGGCTTTCATAGAATGTTCACAGAAAATATTTTAAATGTTTTCTCTGTTTATATATGTAGCAGTTCAGAGCTCACAGGCCACTCAAAAATATAGTGAAATTTGGCCTTTAGGCTGCCTTCCCCTGTGATTTGACAGTGTGAACAGAGCTTCAGTTGAGATTGGTGGTTTCTTACACCTGTCATCATAGCACTCGAGGGTGAGGGAAAAGGATTGAGTTCCAGACCAGACCAACTACGACGACCCTCCAAAAGGAGGGAACCAAAATCTGGGAGTAGAGATGGTATCCTAGAAGAATGATGTATTTAGCCTGAACAAAGAACAGGAGTAGTCAGATGGAGAAGTCAGGGAAAAGCTCTCGAGACAAGGGATGGAGAGAGAAGGTTGGGACATTTCAAGTACTAAAATATGGGTGACGAAGCTGGTCATTTTGAATCAAGGCAGGCCTAGATGTCAAGCTCAGGGTTCGTAGATGGGGCTAGTGATTCTGAGCCTTTTGGGTCACAAATCTCTTTGAGACGTTCATTAAAACTATAAACCCTTCCCCCACAGAATGTAACCACGTAACTTTTTCATAAAATTCTGGGTGCAACTAGGGGATTGCAACTGATTTGGTATCTCATTTATGGGACACCTTGTTCAGATGAAGGCTGGCAGTGAGAACAGGTTTTGCCCAGAAAGCAGCTATAGTCAGTACCATTGACCTCCTGCAGTCGGTTGGCGCTCTGTGGACATGTCTCACCTCCGAGTCAATAGGATCCACAATGGAGTCGCTCAAGAATTTCACCATTACAAACTTCTTGAGGGCCGACAGATTCTCCTTGTAGGACTCATTGACATTCTGGAAGAAGAGTGGACAGTCACGCAGGGTCACTACGGTCGAGTTCAGCCTTCCCTTAAAACCTGTCTGACTGGCATGTCGTGAGCCACGAGCTGGATTCTGCCATGAGTTCTGTCCACTCTATATACATTACTCATTAGGTCACAGGCTTCAAACATGACAAAATAAACAGAATCTGATTCTGTTCTTTGTTCTCTTTGTTCTCTGCTTCAACCTTTTTTTGAGTAAAACAATAAACACCCTCGAGTTGACCATCATATAAAATGAACTGTTAAGTTCACCAGAATGTTCCAAACCATGTTCGTGCCTGGGCACAGTCTATGCCCTTCCCTGAGTCTCTCAAGTAAGTCTTTTCTGAGAAAAACCTCCTCTGAAGGGCCCCACATGGAAGAATGTTGTTTGTGAAGACAGCAGCTATAAATTTCCACATTGCCCAGTGGGGCACCTATTGTAATATGTCAACAGGAAGGGGAAGACTTCAGAGAGGAGGAGAGCCAGGTGAGTTCCCAGCCTAAAAGGAACTGAAACCCATGAGCACTGCCTCTCACAAACAAAAACCCATGGTTCCTGGCATCTGTTGTGGGTATGTTTTGTAAATGGTCACTGCTGATTTCTAATGGCCAGAAAGGAATGCCTAGCCATGGGAGCACTTACCCTCTCTTGATTTATGTCTGCCAAGAAGATGCTGTAGTTTCGGTACATACCCTCATTGATGGGGTCATGCCAGTACTGTGCTTGCACCAGGCTGAGGAAGAAAAGGAATGAAGGTGACTGGGTGCTTTCAGTCAGCATGCCCGGAGCATGCCCTAGTGCCTAGGCAACCAAGAGACTTCAAAAGGATGAAAAAAACCAAAGCCTGAAGTGCCAGACCTTCCCTTCTAATAGGGAATACTTTTTAGACTTGTCAACAAAACATCTTACTGAGACTTGGCAGACACAGGAAGGGCAAAAAGATTTGGTGAAGACTCTCTCTTCACCAAATACTTGGCCTCCTAAAATACAGTGGTCCAGGCTGTCCCTTCTCACAGCCCCAGCTCCCCCACTCTCCTTTCCTCCTCTTTTATCCCATAAGACTCAGTCGCCTCTGCTTCTTCCTTTCCATTGTTATCCCTCTCCTCATCTTCCTCAGACTGGAATGGAGATTGAGCCATCTCAGAGTGACTATCAGTTATCAGAGTGACCCTTTCCAATCTGTTTATAAATGTGTTTGGAGCCAGATTTGGTGGTTCCCCTGTAGTAGCAGCACACGGGAGGTAGAGGCATAGTGTTTAGAAGTTCAAGGTTATCTTCAGGTACAGAGTAAATTTGAGGTCAGTCTGGGCTAACATAAGACCCTGAGGTGAAAAAAAAAGTATATGGAAGTCCTACAAAGTTTAATTTCACTGATACTTAAAAGTTCAGGGCTAGGAGCTAAAGATATGGCTCAGTGGTTAAGAGTACTGGCTGCTCTTCCAGAGGACCGGGTTTGATTTTTCCCTATCCACACTGTGGCTCACAAAGATCTAAAACTCCAGTTCCTGGGGATCCAGTGCCACCTTCTGGCTTCCTGGACACCAGGCCTGTACACAGTGTGCATACATACATACATACATGCAGATAAAACACTCAGAATAAAAATATCTAGTATATAAATAATTTTTTAAAAAATTCAGGGTTAAAGGTATAGTTCACAGATAATAGTATTTGTGTGACCTGCACACAACTCTGGGTTTGATCCTCAGCACTGCAAACATTAGATAAAAGTTCAACAGACTGTGAACATTTATAAAATACTACCACCAGTACTGACCCTGTCATGGCTTTAGCATTGCTGCTCACTAAGTTTCCCCTATAGGACCCTAAGGCTCTTATAAGACAGTAAGATGCTCTATACTAGGGTCTGCTAGCCCATACAGGGTGCGAGACAAGCTATGCTGGAGGCTGCGGTGGTGAGAAGACTGCAGGGGGTTGGGAGTCATTTCAGTGGCCCAGAATTTCAGGAGGCTGCTGGCTAAGGGTGAGCATGAGGCCAACCATCACTTAAGACTTTGCCATCAAAACGAGACAGCTAAGAGAAAGGGTCAGGAAGATGCAAGGGAAATTGTACTGTAAGGAGCTTGATGTAAGTGGTACAGCTCAGCGGAGGCCCAGGGATGGGCAGGAGGCTTGTGCAGCAGAGAGGAGGAGAACCAATGTGCACTCTCACTACTTACTTTTACCGATGAGGGGTAGATTGGGAAAGGCTAACTGATCTAAGTTATACTACAGCAGCAAAGGAAAGTCTACCCACTTCGGTGTTTTGAGATAGGGTTTCACTATGTAGCCCAGGATATACTCAAGTGGACACTCTTCCTCCCTCCATGTCCCCAGGGCTAGACTTTGGTTTGTTTTTATCAGGAAAGCTCTTGCTATGTAACTGACTGGCCTGGTCCTCACTCTGTAGCCAGTGGGGCCCTCAGACTTGCAGCCATTCTCGCCTCTCCTGAGCTCTTCTGGCATGACAGGTGTGAACCATCATGCTCTTCGAGGATTTGGGAACCAAACTCTTAGGGAATTCCATTTATTTCCTTTAGTGTGTGCCTGTGATGATCCTGTTATTCCTGTGGAGGTTGACACGGGGTGTCCTCTATCTCTGCACCAGATTGTTTGAGACAGTGTGATAGGCTAGCTGGACAGCACCTTCCCAGAATCACCTTGTCTCTGCCTCCTAGGGCTGGGGTTACAGATATTTGCCACTGCGGTCAGCTTTTTATGTAGGTGCTGGCAATCTGAAGCCAGGTCTGTATGCTTGCATAGCAAGCGCGTTAAACATTCAGCCACCTCTGGCCCAGGGATGCTTTTTTAAGTTTGGTTAGATTTGGTTTCCTTCTGGTCATCAGAATCCTCTCCCATACAAAAGATGACCTGGGATGATGGCAGAAAGAAATTTTCCTTTTCTTTACCCTTTCCCACCATTTTGTGTCCTATTTGCCATATGTGCAAATGAGGCTCTGCTCATATACATCTTAAAAAGAAAAAGCAAACAACCCTACCAAAATTAAATGGTGGCCTGAAAGTTAGTCTGTGTTACCAGCCGTTGAGAACTCAGAACACACAACACAGGGAGACCGTTAGTGCTGTGCTGTTGACTCACAGGCCTAACTCATCTATAGTGTCACACAGCACCCCTCAAGCCATCCTTCCTTAGCATCTCAGCCACCAGTGTCTCTCACCTAGACCACTGACAGACCCTAAGGAGTCTCTTGTTTTTCTTTGAGCCCTCTCAGAATCTACTTTTTACAAAGCAGTGGAGGGAGGCCTTCTGAAAGCACGACCAAGTCACATTAGTCTTCAGCTTAAAACCCCGACAGCTTCACACGCTGTTACAGAGAGGACAGCATTTCTCAGTGCTCCTTTCCTGGCCAATTCCTTCCATGGTAGGGCTCCAATTTGTCTCCTCAGGTCTCCCATCAGTCACTAAAGTCCACCCCAGCCCAGAACAGGACAAACTTGTCCTTGCTTTGGTGCTGGCCATTCTTTTCTTGGCTTCTCCCAATATTCCACCTCCTCTTTCACACCCCAGATGAAAGGTTACCAATGTAGGAAACACCTCCATCACGTGCACACCTGCATCTTAGCAGATTCCTTCTAAGGGGCCTGTTTCCCCTCCCCTACTAGCATGAGACCAGCGTGCCCAAATAGCTTCTACTCCGTGGTATCTAAGAAGTGTGCAACCAGGTGTGGCAAATAGTAGTTCCTATTTGATGAAACTGCGAATAAAAGACTTTACAACTGCAACTAGAAGGACAAATGACAACACCAGGAAAGGAAACAGAAATAGAAAGCTCCATGTTTTAATTATAGCTCAACTACAACAACAGACCAAACTTTTGACTTAATAAGAAATCAGGCTGCACTAAACAGCCTATACTTAACTTGTTTAACCTTAAAAATGGCTCTCCAGTAAAGCATGTTACTAACCTCAAGTCAGAGGATCAGAATGCCCAGGGCCACACAGCTAGGCGATAACAGAATGAGGGCTCTCCAATGACCCCAAGAAGAAAACAAGAGGCCACCTCCCTTTCCTTTCTATGTCTGAAGGTGACTGCCCCCAGCCCTGCCCCCCATCATTCCTTGGTACAAGCACACAGGTTTCCAGTTAGCTAATAGTTTCTCTGAGGGCTGGAGAGATGGCTCAGCGGTTAAGAGCACTGACTGCTCTTCCAGAGGTCCTGAGTTCAAATCCCAGCAACCACATGGTGGCTCACAACCATCCGTAATGAGATTGGATGCCCTCTTCTGGTGTGTCTGAAGACAGCTTCAGTGTACTCATCAATACAATAAATAAATAAATATTTAAAAAAAAAAATAGTTTCTCTGAGCTGCCTTCTAGGTGGGCATGCTGCCCCAGGATTTGGACTTCAGATCCATTCTGGTTGGGATCTATTCCTCGTGCATAATGCTGTGAAGTTTAACAGGAATGCACGATAGTATGCGTTTTCTTCTGTCCTTGACACAGTATTCAGCAAGCCCTCTTAGTCTGGAAGCTCATGCATGGTAATGGTTTGGCATCTTCTTGTTTGTTTGTTTGTTTTTAGTTTTTCCAGACAGGATCTTTGTAGCCCTGGCTGTCCCGGAACTTGTTACGTAGAGCAGAGTGGCCTCAAACTCACAGAGATCCAGCTGCCTCTGCCTCCAGAGTGCTAGGATTAAAGGAAGGTGCCAGCCCTCCACCCCTCATCAAGAATTCTCCCTTAGTCACTTCCTGCCTGGTACATAACAGGGTTAGATCTAAGTCTTGCAGTTAAATTGCTGAGAGAGTAGATTTTTCGTCTCCTATCAGGGTTCAGGGTGGGAAAAAAAGTAGTCACCTGAATGTTTGAAGAGTCAGGGAACTGGGAATTCAGACTACTCCTGCCTCAGGTTTTCAAAAGGTCCTAGTTTGGCCCTGCCCAATTACCAAAACCTAACTTACTGTACGTTCCCTGTCTCCAAGCTTTCCTGGGGCCCTAGAGCATGGTTCTCTGCAGCGAGCCTTCTATGAAGGTAAAGCCTTTCAGCTGAGCCACAACGGTACCTACAGCTGTCCTTCACATGCAGGCATCTTGTACTGGCTCCTTGCTCCTCTCTTGTTTTCTGCGCCTCTTTCAAGTCCTTTATTTATTTTTATTTAGTTTTAATTATTTCCGAGACAGGGTTTCTCTGTATAGCCCTGGCTGTCCTGGAACTCAACTCTGTAGACCAGGCTGGCCTCGAACTCCCAGAGATCTGCCTGCCTCTGTCCCTCTGTCCCTCTGCCCCGAGTCTACCACTACATCTGGCCTAATTTCTTTTTTTAAAAAAAGATTCATTCATTTATTTTTAATTATTTTAAAATGTGCACTGGTGTTTTAACTACATGCATGTCTGCATACATCAGAGTGCCAGATCCCGTGGAGCTAGAGTTACAGACAGTTGTGGGCTGCCATGTAGGAGCTGACAACTGAACCCTGGTCCTCTGGAAGAACAGTCTCTTGACAGCTGAGCTGTCTCTCCAGCTTCACATTTACTTATTTTTTTTTTATGTATATGGGTTTTTACCTGCATGTATGTATGTGCACCATGTGCAGGCAGTGCTCCCAGAGTCAGGGAGCGTCATGCCAGCAGGGCACTCCCACAGTCTAGACCTGACAGCTGCACTCACCGTTCTTGCACAAGTTTGGAGTAAGCACCAGCATTAAGGGACTTCCTGATGAAGTCACAGATGTGAGAACTCTCTCCTGGGCATCGGGGGATTCCAAAGACACCTGGGTAGGAAAAAGACAACCATGCATCACTTTAATAATCATATATGGAATGCCACTGTAGCGGGCACTGTGAAACTGGGAAAATAAAAGCGTCCAGTGCTGAGAACTAACAGCACTGCCAGTTTCCTCCTGGCACTCTGCCAGAGACCTCTGCCCCAGCCTCACCCAAGTGTGGCTGTTACATACAGCACATGGTTGCCTCATCCTCTTTCTGGGGAAATCATCTGGTTTTGTGTCCCCATCCCAAGTCATACTTTCATGGGTGCATTTCCCCTTCCTGTGCAATCTACTTGACAACTAATGCAGTGCAAATATTCCGTGGGTTGTTATTACACTGGGTTGTTTAGGGAGAGAGAAAAGAATCTGTACATTAACAGTACAGATATTTCTTGAAGTTTCCTCTGCCCTCCCTTGCCACCCCTTCCCTTTCTCTTTTGATGAAGACAGGGTAGCGTCTAAGCTCAGGCTGAACTCAAACCCTCTGAGGATGATCCTCCTGCCCCCAATCCCTAAATTCTGGGTTTCTAGGCACATACAAACACCATGGCCTTTTCCAGAATAGTTCTCATCCGTGGATCTTTGAATCCACAGATATGGAACACCTTGGGTTCAGAAGGCCAAATGTGAACTGGGGTGCAGCTCTGTGGTGGAGTTCTTGTCTCATATCTGGAGACCCTGGGTTTTATCCCCAGCAACACACACACAGACACACACACACACACACACACACACACACACACACACACACACAGATGTGCATACACGTGTATATATATGTACACGGATAATAATCAGTGATGAATTTGGGAAGGAGTGGGAAGAGCTGGAGGGTCGAGGGCTGGAAATGATGTGAATATAATACATAAATACAAAATAAACTTTTTAAAAATTAAGTAAAAAAATTGCTGGGCAGTGGCACACGCCTTTAATCCCAGCACTCAGGAGGCAGAGGCAGGTGGATCCCTGTGAGTTCAAGACCAGCCTGGTCTACAGAGTGTACTCTGGGACACTCAGGGAGGGCTAGCCAGAGAAACTGTGTCTTGGAAAACTAAAATAAATACATATAAAATAAAAAGAACATTAAAGCTCGCATCTAAGCTTTAATTTCTGTTGTCAATCATGTTGACAATAACATATAGCGTGAGACAGTTCTAATCCAGTGACATGCCTTTCCCCACAAATGGGTTTTTCTAAGTGGTATTAAAGGTTAGAACAAAAAGCTTACACACTGGTTAGTGTCAGTAGCACAGAACAAACGTCAGAGACCATGGAATGCCATTGTATTTCCCTTCTTCTGGTTGTGCTAGGGCGGAACCCAGGGCCTTGCACATGCTGGACAACTGGATGACCACCAGGTTACACGCACAGCCCAACTTACTCCTGCGAGTCCTCAACTATCAACTGTCACTGGGATGGAACTCTTACCTCTATGAAATCTAACCAATTAAGTAGATGAGATGGCCACCAAGGATTTGCCTGTGCTACAGAGCTCTGCAATCTGGGGAAGCTTGCTACTCCATTGGTGATGGTTACTTGGTTCCATTATGTAGAAATGGGATTTGACGAGAGTGGCTGACTTAGTGTACAAATCAAACTACTACATCCTTGGCTTCTTGAGTGCTGGGGTAAAAGGCATGAGCCACTACCACTTGGCAATACTACATTTTAAAAAAGCAAGTAGGCAAGGCTGTGGAGATTTCTTAATGGTTAAGAGCATGACTAGGTCTTGCAAAGGACCTAAATTCAGTTCTCAGCACACATGCAAGGTGGCTCACAATTACCCATGACTCCAGCTCCAGGGTATCTGTAATACCTCTGTTCTTCTCTTCTCACATCTCCCCATACATGTAACTAAATTAAACACACACACACACACACACACACACACACACACACACACACACACACACACGATGGGTTATGGTGACACATGCCTATGATCTCAGCATCTGGCCAGCTGAAGAAGAAGAATTGCTTACTTTGAGGGTATCCTAGGCTACCAAACAAGAACTTACCTAAACAGAAGGAGGAGCAGAAGGGGAAAGAAAGAAACAAAGAAAGGATAGGAAGGGAAGAAGGAAGGAAAAATGAAATACAAAACATCAGATGGACAGGGGTTAGAGAAGAGGAAGAGAATCATGGGAATAAAGAAGTGACCATTAGTTACCTTGATGTTGTCCCCCAACTGAAATCAGAGTCATCATGGGAGGTGTCGGGCATCTCTGAGCCACTGCCCTCCTGGAGAAATCAAGAGTGGCTGTCAGCTCTGATGGTCAGATTAGAATATATCAACAGTCACTTCACAGATTAAGCTATTTAATACATCATGGGTCCTCAAACCACAGAGTTACAAGATCTTATTTCATAGACAATAAATCAAGCAAGGCTGGGGAGATGGCTCAGTCTGTGAAGGGCTTGTCATGCAAGCAGGAGGAACTGAGCCTGGATTGCATACTCCACCTTAAAAAAAAGAAAAGAAAAGGCTCGGACAACAGTAATCCAGTAATATCAAATGGGAGGGTAGAGACAGAGGGTCCCTGGGGCTTGCCAACAGTCAGTCTATTAATACTGAGCTCCAGGTTCATGGAGAAATCTTTTCTCCATGGTGACGATGATGACAACGATGACGATGGCTACGACAACAACAACAACAACAATAAAACAACAACAACAACAACAATAATAAAATGTTGTCCAGGGAGGGTTAAGCACTTGCTGCCAAGCCTAATGACCAGATTTTGACTCCTGAGCCTCATATAGTGGAAGGGGAGAACTGATTCCTCAAAGCTGTCTGTCTTCTGACATACACACACACACCAAGGCATACACACCACACACACACACACACACACACACACACACATGCATGGGTGTATGCATGTGCATACACACATATACATACACACAAAGTAGACAAATATACTTTAAAATTTTTTAAGTTAAGCCACGTAGTGGCAGTGCACATATTTAATATGAATACTCAGGAGGCAGAAGTAAGTGGATCTCTTGAGTTCTAGGCCAGGCTGGTCTACATACTGAGTTCTAGGACAGTCAGGCTATACTGAGAAACCATCTCGAAAAACTAAAAAAAGAAAAAAGAAAAAAAAAAGTTAAAATAAGGGCTGGAGAGAGATGATTCAGTGGTTAAGAGTGTTGGCTGCTCGAAAAGGACTCAGGTTTGGCTCCCAGCACCTACAATGGGTCACTCACAACAACTTGTAACTAAAGCTGGAGGTGATCCGAGGCCCTCTTTGGCCTCTGTGGGCACCACACTCACACGTGCACATATCCCAACATATAGATAATTGATAAAAAGTAAAATAAAATCTTTACAACTTTTTCTAAAAAAGTAGGGTAGAGAGTTGTTGGAGACACTGAACACTGATTGACCTTTGCCCTCCACACACATGCTCACACATCTGCACACATACAGAAAGAAAGAAATTAAGTTCCACAAAGCTTTTTACACAGTGACATTTTAAGAATAATTTCCTCTCTATGACAGGGGAAGATACCAAAATAAAATAATCCAAGTCAATTCATCTGAATAGAAGAAATGTCAATTCCATGTAACTGGTACCGTGGCACAGAAGGGAACTTACAGGAACTGGCCTCCCTGGGAGAAGCCAATAGCATTGTATCCCTGCTGCAACTTAGGATCTTTTTCGAGAATCTGACACGCCATGCTGACTTGGAGATTGACATTCAAGAAGAAGCTGTTCTCCATATCCTAAAAGAGAAGTAGCAAGGAGTGAAGACAAGGAACTGTATGTAAATAGCACCTTCTCTAAGACAGGCGCTGGCATGAGTCACAGCCTGCATGGCATGGCACCCGCACATAGCCACATACATAGCTGAGCAGGATGGAACAATCCTGTAGTTCAAACACTTGGGAGGATGAGACGGAAAGATCAAGTTCTAGGCCAGCCTGGGCTACAGAGCAAAATCCTACATCCCAAAATAAAATACAACCAAACCAATGGGGCTATGGTTTGCTGCTAAAAATGCAAGGTGAATCGTTCAAATAGCACCGTCTATCAACCCCCCCCCCACCCCCGGAACGAGCCGGGATCTTACCTCTACCATGTTCTTCCCAATCTCTAGAGACAGGATGTAAATCCCAGGTATTTCCTTTTCAACCATCTTTTTAATGGCACCCATGCTCATGGGGTTACAGCAGGTGTCCCCTAGCCAAGAAAAACAACGGTGGAAATTCGTGAATCGAAACATTATTTAAGAAGCAAAAACCTTTTATGTCTCAAACCAAAGGGCATGAATGAATAAGAAAGGGCGGCACATGGGACGGGGAGAACTTGTAAACAATGGTGTAATACAGGGCTTCTCCAGCTTTTCCTACACAGCACCCTTCTCACGTTAGAAATTCTTTTTTTTTTTTTTAAAGATTTATTTATTTATTTTAAGTATATGAGTACACTGTAGCTGTCTTCAGACACACCAGAAGAGGGCATCCAATCTCATTATGGGTGGTTGTGAGCCACCATGTGGTTGCTGGGATTTGAACTCAGGACCTCTGGAAGAGCAGTCAGTGCTCTTAACCGCTGAGCCATCTCTCCAGCCCACGTTAGAAATTCTTAATGCTACTTTGGTTATATGGGGTGCATAAAGTATATTTGCAAATCAAACATTTACTGATAATGAATCATAAAGAAATTTACTGTGAGATACTTCTTTGGTATACATGAAATTTTATCATTTATTAAAGTGGAAATTAATTTTACAAAATGCTGCACATTGTACTTGTTTATTTTTATATAAAGGATTATATTTTCATCTTGGCATAGTAGGTCACCGTCTAAACCCAGCACTCAGGAGGCAAAGGCAGGCAGATCTTAGGTGGACTCTAAGGTTTAAAAAGCTCATGCCAGGGGCTGTCTGTCTGTTCATCTGTCTGTCTCTGGATCAGGATGCAGCCCTCAGCTACTGCTCCAGCACCAGGACTGTCACCAATGGACTCAACCTTTGAAACTGTAAGCAAGCTCTCAAAGTGCCTTCTGAGAGTTGCCTTGGTAACGGTGTCTCTTCATAGCAACAGAACAGTGACCAAGACATTGTTCTTGTACAGGACCCAAGTTTGGTTCTCAGCACTCAGGTTGGATAGCTCACAACTACATATAACTCCAGCTCCAGAAAATCTGATGCTGTCACTATCTGGCTTCCTAGGGCATCTACATGTACTTGACATACACTCACATAGGCATATACATATATATACACAAAAATAAAAATAATTTTAAAATGAAAGAAGTGAAGAGGCTAGACAGACAGGTCTGCAGTCCAGAGCACTTCCAGAGCTTCTGAATTCAGCTTCAGAACCCATGTCGGTGCCTCACAACCACCTCTAACTATAGCTCCAGGGATCCAACGATGCCTTCGTTTAGTCTCCATGGTCTCCCCCCCCTTACACACACACACACACACACACGCACACACCACAATTTTTCTTAATCTTAAAAAGTAAATTGGGAAAGGATGCAAAGACACTTCTCTAAGAAGACAGAAGATGATCATTAGAGTCACAGTTGACGAAATGCAAGCTAAAATGATGAACTGTCAATCCATACCCACCTAGACGGCTTCAAAACAACTTAACGTTGTTGTTCAGGCAGGGTATTGCTTCATAATCCTAGCTGGACTAGAACTCTCCATATAGACCAGGCTGGCCTCAAACTCAGAGATACCTGTCTACTACTGTCAACCTCTGTCTCCTCAGTGCTGAGATTAAAGGTGTGTATCACCATATCTGGCAAAAAAAAAAAAAAAAAAAAAAACCATTTTAAAAATTAGTAAATAACTATTAGTGAGGACATGGGGAACAAGGCATGCTTGTACCCTGTTAATGAAACTGTACCAATGTAATCTCTGTGAAAAAGTATGGTAATGACTTTAAAAAAAAAAAAGAATTAAGCAGCCAGGTAGTGGTAGTGCATGCCTTTAATCCTAGCACTGGGGATGCAGAGGCAGGCCTATCTCTGTGAGTTTGATGTCGAGGACAGCCTGGTCTACAGAGTGAGTTCCAGGACAACCAGGGCTACATAGAGAAACTCTGTCTTTGAAGCAAGCAAACAAACAAACAAACAAAAAAACTAAGCATGCAATTATCAAATCTACTCCTACTAGATAATTAAGAAAAATGAAGACATACAGTAAGACCTTACACAAATGTCTGAAGTGGTATTACTGGTAATAGCTAAAAGGTAGACATAAAGCCAAATGTCCATTACTGAATAAATAATCTGTGGTATATTCATACAATGGAACACTATTCACTCATAAATGGAAATGAAGTGCTGACACATGCTACAACTTGGATGAACCTCAAAGCATGTTCCGTAAAATAATCCTGCACAGTAGATAAATTATCCAAGACCTTTTACCTGTTGTGTCCAGAGTAAGATACCCCACAAGTGTAGGAAATAGGGTGGAGGTTATCAGGAGTGAGAGGAGGGAAGGAAACAATCACTTAACCCATATGGAGGGTTTCCTGGGTGCTGACAAGTTCTGAAACTACAAGGAAGCCTCAGCTTGTGAACAGGCTTAGCGCCACTGAATTGTGCACTGAAAACTGTGAACCTGATGTTACATGACTTTCACCTCAACAGTAACAGACAAAGAACACAAGCTTAAGCTCTGTCTAGCAGGTGCTAACAAGCTTCAGAAGGCCATGTAGGGCTGGAGAAGCAGCCCTGCTGAGAGAGTGCTTGCCCAACATGTACCAGGCCCTGCGTAGGACCCCAGGACTGCATAAACTAGACAAGGAGTGCACAGATATAGTCCCAGCACTTTGAAGGCAGAGGGAGAAGAATTACAAGTTCAAGGTCATCCTTGGTTTCTTAGTGAAGCTCGAGGCTGGTCTGAGCTGCATGAGTCCCTGTCTTAAAGCAAAAGAGAAATAGAAAGAAAAAAGAGAAGGTAGGCATA